AATGAGACGCCATCAGCGAGTGTTGCTGTGCGCCACGGCTATGCCGTGGCGGGGTCCACTTGTAAAGTTACTCTAAACAGTGACTGGAGGGTTAAAAGGCAATATCTTACCTCATTTCTCCTCATTTATTTTTATTTGTCTTAAAATCAAGAAGGAATTTTGAGGGGACCCTCAGCCAAAAGTTGCTTGTACTGCAATTTTATACAACATATATTTTTCCCAGAATTTTTCAAAATTTTCGATTTTTTATTTTTTTTTCTAGGCTGGTCCCCGGGCCGCCCGGCGACCCGGTGGTCGCCCCTAGCTGATTAAGGGCCGGGGGCTTTCAGAGTATCAACAGGAATATTCTGATCTCTCTCTCTCTCTCTCTCTCTCTCTCTCTCTCTCTCTCTCTCTCTCTCTCTCTCTCTCTCTCTCTCTCTCTCTCTCTCTCTCTCTCCCTGGTTGATCTTGGCAGGATTATTGCGGGTCCTGTCATCCTGCAATAGGGGTCACGAGCCTGGATACTACGCCCAGCACAGAGTAGAGCATGATTTAACCTGGGTTCGTTTGGGTAGATAGGCGGGTAGCCTGTGCTCTCGTGAAACCCATAACCCTTAATGGTCTATGCTTGTTGTGCATAGATATGGATTGCATGGGCAGATAGCATGAGGTGAGCAGGTAGGTAGGGTGAGGGGGGAAATATTGAGAGAAGAGAATAGTGTAGTGATATGGCTGTCCCCCAATATATGAGGAGAAGACGGCATTACAAAAATAAAAAATAAAAAAATTAATAACATCCAATTGGGAAGGTTTTAGAAGATACCTAGATAGGCCAAATGGGGAGGAGAGAAAAGAAGAGTTTCTTATGCACCATAGAATGATGACAAGGACTGTAAGTAGCATAGCATCATTCAGGAATAGCCATACATACAGAGTATTATAGACCACATCATCTTCGTCTATACGGCTATTCCCAAATGAATATGCCTATTTGGAAAGAGCCATAAATATATGCGAGGATCAGTGTCCTCGGTAGGCCTACTGGGCCCCATCTGCAGCCTTACCCGCCCTAAGTGAAGGCGGGCCTGGCTTTTTGCAAGAGGCCCTCTTTCCTCAATTTCATATTCGGGGTCCAGGCAGTTGCGACGCACCAGTTGGTTGAAAGACACACAGGCCGAGTACCGAACACATTTCCACGGCCTACCGGGCCTTTCCAAAGAATGCAGGACCTGGGCGAAATTTGCAGCCTCATACAGAGACAGTTGGGCTCCCAACCGAACGAGGCCCAGTGGCCCAGTAGCTGCTGCGTCCAGACAGCATCCTGGGGCCTTCCGGAAGCTGCTGGGGCCCAGGCCAGCCCAGCCAGGCTGCGAGAGCTGGCCAGCTCTTCTCCATAAAGGAAAGAGCTCTGGCCAGGCAGCGGCATTCAGGCACTCGCATGCTGGCGGCAGCGCTGCTTGAGCAGAGGCTCGTGGGCTGCTGCTAGCGCTGGGAGGCGAGGTGCAGCACGTGCGGCCGTGCAGAGGAGGAGGGCGCTGCCAAGGGCAGCGCCATAGCCCAGCCACCATAGCTGGTGGGCTTGGACTACAGTGAAGTGCAGGGGTGGTCTTCGGGTGACAGGGAGGACAGGTGTTGGGTGAAGTCAGGGGATAGGTGAAGGATGAGGATGATGATGATGATGTGAGGGCACGTACCTGGTATTGGCGATGGTCTGCATGGGCGGCATCTTCAAGTACTTCGGGCTGCTGCTGATGTCAACAGTTGCATTGTCTTTTTGTAGTTTTGTAGTAGCTGTGTAGGAGTAGGCTGGGCGCTGAGCGCCAAGTGCGAGTGTAAGGGAACTGAACTCGTGTATTGAGGGAGAGGGTGAGCTCTCCACGGACATTGGTTTTCAGTACTATAAAACTCCATTGGTGTATTATTGGTGCAATGCTGCTATCTGGACACGGTGTGACTATTTGACTTGCAATATGATAATGTGATCTGGGATCGTCGTCTCGCTGTTGCTTATTTTCCTTGCATATAGAGCATACCGAAGGATACACCATATAGACCATGTGTACCACCACATAGACTATATAGGCCATATAGCCCATCATATGAACCATATAGATAAAGACCATATAGCCCATCATATGAACCATATAGATAAAGACCATATAGCCCATCATATGGACCATATAGATATAGACCATATAAATATAGACCATCATATAGAAAATCATATAGACTACATACACCATATTACCTCCTCTTTATGTGCTCAAGAAATGAATCCTCGAACTCTTGGGAATAGGCATCCACAAACCGGTCGGGGTTGTCACCAAACACCTGCATTTGTCGCTGATGCCCCTCTGACATGCAGTGGCACTGCAAAGCACAGGTCACAGCCAAGAAGGCCATCAGGCCCAGAAGACAAAAAAGCAAATGACAAGTCGAAGTCGAAAGCCAAAACCCAAATTTCAATGGGAATCTGACCAAAAGGTTCACAGCCAGTCTGCGCAACACGGACTCAAAATCATACAGCTCTCTATTCTACTTGCTTCGTGGTTCGAGTCTTCAAGAAAGGGAGTGAGGGAGTGAGAGAGAGCAAGCGAGGGAGCGAGGGAGCGAGGGAGGGAGGGAGGGAGGGAGGGAGTGAGGGAGGGAGGGAGTGAGTGAGTGAGTGAGTGAGTGAGGGAGGGAGGGAGGGAGGGAAGGGGAGTGGGTGGAAGGGAGAGATGGGTAGTCGTAATGGGGGAATTGAAAAGATTAAGCTGTTGTATGCTTTTCAACCTCAGGATCATCTTGGGGGCCAATGATGAATACAGCAGGCGTTATAAACTCCAGCTTCTCCATTGTCATGGCCTAATATGACAAAACAAAGAGCAATTTACAAAACACAAATGGTTACAAAGGACTTTGAAGTGGCATCAACATTTCCATAGAAATAAGTCTTGAAAAAAGTGAACAGCAGACGGTGCACACACTATATTGTCATGCCAGGTGTCATCCACTGACAGTATGCCATGTCAGCTGACCAGTCAAAGATATGGCACTAGAATGAACGGGAAAGCATCAGATCTGCAATGTATTGAAGCAGGTGTATGTGCGATTGAAAGGGGTTGCAAAATCAGAAGGAGTGGGGCTTTTCTTCTTGTTATACATTATTTTTAATCTTGAAGATTTGAACTCAGTGAAGGATTTTGTAGTAGTAGTGGGCAGAAAGCGGTAAAAGAGAGAAGGG